AGATGTTCGTGTTGGCCCCTTCCATGATCGCAGCGTGGACTCGCTGCATTTTTTGTTGGCCTCCGCACGTAATATGGTTCGTTCTGGGTCACTGCGCCAGCAGGGGCGCGTTCCTAACCCGAGGCCGAATACCAAATCTAGCCCCCAGGCCCCAGACATGAGATGTCTTTACTTTTTTGATACGGGTCCTCCTGCAGCCCCGACTCCCCAGCTCCAGTTCTCCAGGGCCAGTCCCGGGACTCGGCCTGTGCCCCCAGAGGCCGAAACCGTACGACAATTCATGTCATGGTTTTCTTACCACGCCAGCATCATGCCTGGGCCCAGGTCTTCAGGAGGAAGGTGCTGCCACCACCAGCGCGGGTGGTGCCTCTCTCGACCTCCGGTTGGTTCGCCCAGCTACCGAATTTGCCACAGCGGCGCCTTCGGAGTTTCCCTCCGCCTCCTCCTCGCCGCCTCGTCGTCTTCCTCAGTAGGACATTGGAGAGGAGGAGACCCGGAGCGCCCCGAGCGCCCCAAGGACCCCCGCCGCGGAGGACTGCGGCGACGCGAGGAGGGTCTGCTTCCATGCGTTCAAGGACGTCCGTCCGGGCGCTGCAGCGCGCACCGACCGACCAGCCTGCGGCGGCGCGCCAGGGCCCTCCCAAGGGGGGTTATGGGCAAATCCCGCATAAAAGCCCCCCCGAAGAAGACCGGGCCGCCCCTTCCAGGCAAGTTTATTTTTTGGACCCCTCCAAAGGGGAGCCCTTGCTGTTCTGGACCCCCCTTTGCGAAATAGCAAGTGTAACTCAAGATGTCGGCCGCGATGGCGAATGAGATACCAGCGGATTGCAATTCGAGCAATGAATGACGTGGGTGACTGCGGCAGGTCCAGACACAGCAATGATAATGACTGGAGCGGTGCAGGCAACGATGAGCAGATAATGACGGCGGCGATTGTGATGAGTATGTTGATGATGTTGATGATGCTGCTGATGATGATGACGGTGGTGCTGATGATGATACTGATGATGTTGTCGATGTTGACCCCTTCGCCTCCCACATGGGCCCCTTCACAATTTGGACCCCAGGGACGATCATCAAGGGATTGCGAGTATGCCCAGGGGGGGGACAGCGGCGGTTCTCCCTGGCGTGGCTTCCGCCTGGTTGGGCCTCCTGCGAGCTTCTCGTCGCCACGGCTGGATCCGCTTCGAAGTCATGGTCTGGGGACCGATTTTGACCAGATTTGGCCTGAAGGGGGCAAGCGTCGACCCTCGATCGCCCATCCAGCGCCAATGGGGGCCTGGACCCCCCTCCCGCCGAGGAGCGCGCGGTTTCGGTATCGGGGGCCTATCGCTGATCCGTCGGCGATGTATTGCCGATACCAGGTCACCGCCTCCCCCCACTGAGCCCCCCCCCTTCTGGTGGCCCAGGCCTCCAGAGTGCTGAACAAATCAACGCGGAGGGTTGGATAGGGAGTTTTGCCGATGTGTTCGTTGGTTGTTCGAGATTTCCCCGCCTCGGGACGCTTACCAGCAGCTACGCCTCGCCGAAAGCGTCCCGGTGCTCGCATCGTCCCGAACGACCGCCGAAGATCCGAGTGATGGGCCGAGGGCAGGTTTCCTCACGGATTGAAGAACACAGCAAGTGCGGCATGTTCGTGTCGTGTCGACTTGGCGCCAGTGCGGGAGTCCAAGGTCGAACGCCGTCAGTGGGGCTGATTTGGTTGATCTCGAACGATCCGCGATGCTGGGAAGCTGCGGTCGCTCCAAGTTGAACGATCCACGCGGAGTCAGAGACTAAGGCCGAAGTCGCCACTGCACGAACCTGCCAGAGGTAGGGAGGGAAGCAGGGAGGGGGACCACGACCACCACCACCGCGCTAACGACAACCCCCACGCCCACGTCCGCCCCTCCTTCCCTTTCCCTGCCCCTGCCGGGCCGCCCCTGCAGCTAGTACGGCCCCCGCTTCCGGAGCCCGTCCCCCCCCCCGACGGATCATTTCAGCACCCCCTCCCAGCCCCTTACGGGTGTAGCGCCATGGTGGCAGCCGGGCGGGGCGAGTCGCGGGAGAGGGAGGGAAGGGGAGGAGGGCGCTGGCGTGGGGAAGGAGGGGGGATGCGAAGGAGGGACACCAGAGGGGGTGGCGCAGTGGGAGTCCGATGCTTCGCTTCGCCGCTGCCAGTGGTGGGGGCGACGGCCGACAGGAACGCGGCAGATGGGAAGGGTTAGGTCGGGCGTGCCCCCCTGCAGGCGGATTTTGAACGAAAAAAATATAGTTAACGAAGATTCCACCAACTGCTAAAAAATGGGGGAACAAAAATACAAACGTCTCCTGATTATTCTTGGACCATTTTTGAATACTCCCCCCCGCAGAGTAAGTCGAGGGCGAGGCGGCAGAGGGCCGCAACGGCGTGGGGCCGCGATTTGTAGCAGCGTGCGGCCCTCGGGCCGCGGAGAGCCGATCGGCACATCCCGTCGCGTGCGCACCCCGCCCGTGGGCCTCCGGTCCTCCTCCTCCTCCTCCTCCTCCTCCTCCTCCTCCCCTTGATCATGATCAATCTGTGATTGCTTGACCTCGTTTTCCTGTCCGCGCGCAGGGTGGCGCACGGCTGTTGAGTGAGTGAGTGATCCGATTCGATTCGCTTCGATTTCGACGGCTTCCGCTGCCGAGTCGAGTCGTTTTCGGTTTCCGATTTGGCTTCCGATTTTTAAAGCCAGGCCCGCTAGCCTGCCGATTTCCGCCGATCCGACTCTTCTCGACTTGGTTGCCGATTTCCGCCATCCGATTCTTCTTGATCGCGGATCCGACTTATCGGTTCGATTCTGGGTTCTCCTGGCGGACCAGAGGATGTGGGGGGGGGGCGGCGAAGGGAGGGGGGGCGACGTTTCGCTCCGCCGATGCCACCAGGTTCCGGGGGAAAATGCCAGCGCATCCTAGCTCTATCAGCGGCCGCTCCGCACCATTCCCGGCAGCACCTGTCGCAGCAGCGGCTGGGAATGTCCGGGAGGTCGGAGGAGGATGGGGTGGAGGGGGAGGGGCAGGATGGGTTTGAGGGGGAAGGGCCTGGAGGGACTAGGGGGAGGAGGAGGGCAGGACGAGGATGAGGGGGACGAGCAAGCTGGCTGCGCTCGCGCTACGTTTGACCTCATATCCCCCACTCCCATTCCTTCCCACTGCACTGGTTTGCTCTTTATCCGCGGACGCGTATCATACCCTGACCTCCGGGATCTGTGGGTTGTTGGACTTTCGTGGCATGTGGGACCAGTGGGACAGGAGGGAACTGTGGACCTGTAGGACTTGTGGAGCCTGGGGGACTTGCGGGACCTGTGCGACCTGGGGGATTTATTTGGCTTGTGGGGCATGTGAGACGTGCGACACCTGTGGGACTTGTGGGTGCTGTGGGAATCAAGGGATCTGCGAGACCTGCGACACCTGTGGGACCTGTGGCACCCGCGGGACCTGTGGGACCTGTAGGGCCTGACCTCTGTGGGACCTCTGAGCCCTGCGACACTTGTGGGACCTGCAGGACCTGTTGGACTTGTGCGACCGGTGAGACTTGCGACATTTGGATACGCTGGGGCACGAACGCCGTTCTGAACGATGGGAGCAAATCGCCGATCCGAAAATGAGGCCCGCAGCAAGAGTACATTTCTTTTGAAAACTATTCTCTTGAATACCAGCACGCAATCAGTTCGTTATACACATGAAATATCAAATCATTGAATCATCTTTTTGTGCGCACGTGTGTGTGTGTGCGTGTGAGCATGCGGCTTGGCATGATGGTGGGAACTCGTATCATTGACAATATGTTTTCCATGGGAAGGCCCCGAGACACCCGCGAAGTAGCTTATGTTCTTCTTCCGGACATATTCTACGATCCCAAAATAGGATCAGAATGTATTCCGCCCAGCCTGTCATGGCTCGGGATGCATATCCGTGCGGGGTAGTTTCTGCTCTGCCTTTTCCGCCTACACCGCCAGTCGGCATTCACTTTGCACGCGAACCACATACTGATGTTGTCAATGCGATGGGGCAAGTCGCACCCCATGCCGTTTTTTTCCGTGGGTCCATGTAACCCAGGGCTGTGGCGATGTTAGGCAGATGATGATGATGATGATGATGATGATGATGATGATGATGATGATGATGATGATGATGATGATGATGATGATGATGATGATGACGATGACGATGACGATGATGATGACGATGATGGTGATGATGACGACGATGATGATGATGTTGATGGTGGTAGTGGTCGTCGTCGTACATTGGGCAAATCGTGATCGTGAGTCGCGGGCGCGAGTCGCAGGCGCGGGTCCCCAGGGCCAAGCAGGTTCTGAAGACCGGGAAGGCCCAGACAGTTTGCCAGAAAGTTGCATGGTGAAATTTCGGAATGCTTGCAAGCAGATTCTTGACCGTGGCGGTGCGGCAGCGGATAATTGATTTGGAGGCCGTGGCAGCGCAACCGTTGCTGCCAATGCCTGGGCGGCCATTGCCTGCGATGCCTGAGCTTGCCTGATTGTCGCGAGGCTACAAGCCGGAAGATGGCATATCGGGATTTCACACGGCTGTGACACAAGTTTTGCGTTTTGGCACGGTTTTAGAAGATCGTACCTATGTAAGTCATATTTCCCAACATGAGAAGATGGCCGTTGGATCCCGTTATCCCAAAAATGAATCGGAAGTTGCCCCGCCCAAGCTGTCATGAAAAAAAGGGGCGGGATGCATGTGCGCGCAGATTGATGTTTGCCTCGTTTGTTCCGCGTATTTCGCCAATCGGCGCGCATCGTGCGCGCGGGCCACATAAGATCTGTCACGGAGATATATTCACATTGAATCATTGTGGAGAAAGTCAAGAGGGGATGAAGGGGGATGAGGGCAAGGATGGTGGAGAAACTGTGGGGGATGGGAGGGGTGAGAGCGGGGGAGGAGTGGCAGGAGAAGGGCGGGTGAGGGCCCGCCCCCTTCTTCCTCCTTCTTGTCCGAGACCGGGGGGAGGGGCCTCTCCGCCGGCGCAGGACCCCGCGTCTTGGGAGGGCTGCTACAACGCCGCCGCCCGATGAGGACGGCGGGGGGGGGGGGGCAGATGGAGGATGTTGGCGCTGGCCTCCCTAATTGGGTCGGAGGATCGCGCCGCATCGCCGCTGCAACGGCGCCGCGGCTCGGTGTGGAACCCGATTTTCTCCACGCCGACGAAGCCGAGGCATCGCCGACTGAGCCGGAGCATCGGCGATGCTTCGGCGATCCAGCGCAATCCTTCGACCCCATCTATTCGGACCAAGTTTTGAAGGACCCGGTCTTGAAGGCTTCCATTCGAGCATTCGACGTCGCAGCATGCCCAGACCTGGCATCCGACTTCGCAGCAGGACGAGTTCCGAACGTTTTATCAACGAGTCAGTGTTTTTCACGGGGCGAGGTGGCTTCCATCCGCTGCACCCCTTTGAACACATTCCGAGGCTGGCGGGATCGTCCCCAACGGCCGCGTGCGGGCTGAGTTTGTGGCCCGACGGCCACATGGCAGCACGTAGCAGGGGTCGGCGCCAGACCAGCCGCCCAGCGTCTTGAAACAATCACTGTGGTTGTTTTTCGTCGTTCGCGGCCTCTGGAGGCCCTTGCCGGGCCCGAGGGCCGTTAGAAGACGATTCGGAATGAAGCAGCTGCCCCGGGAGGGAAGTTGGGACTCCTTGGAACCCGCGAGGAGAAGAACACATCGGATTTCTGGATCGGGAGCGCGGAGGAGCTAGGGGGAGGGAGGGGGAATAAGACCGATCACAGCCACTTCGGACTGTTCAGGAACTAATTCGGTCGGATTGCAACCACAAGAAACAGACTGATCGCAACCTAAAGGATTCCTATAAATTTGTCAGGAAAACACCGGATTGCAACCGATCCAAGAGTTGCTGCTGAGGCCTCTGAAAGGCTTCTTTGAGTCCTCTTGAATGCTTCTCTGAGGCCTCTGAAAGGCTTCTCTGAGGCCTCTGAAAGGCTTCTCTGAGGCCTCTGACAAGCTTCTCTGAGGCCTGTGCGAGGCTTGTGGGAGGCTTCTGAGAGGCTTGTGGGAGGCTTCTGAGAGGCTTGTGGGAGGCTTCTGAGAGGCTTCTGAGAGGCTTCTGAGGGGCTTCTGAGAGGCTTGTGGGAGGCTTCTGAGAGGCTTGTCGGAGGCTTCTGCAGGTTTTTTTTTTCAGAGGCTTCTGAGAGGCTTCTGAGAGGTCTCCGAGAGGCTTCTGAGAGGCTTCTGAGAGGCTTCGGAGAGGCTTCGGAGAGGCTTCTGAGAGGCTACTGAGAGGCTTCTGAGATGCTTCTGCGAGGCTTCTGAGAGGCTTCTGAGAGGTTTCTGAGAGGCTTCTGAGAGGCCTGCCCCGCAGGCCCCACAGGTCCCACAGGTCCTGCGTGTCGCACGGGCGCCAAAGGTCTCGCAGGCCGCGCAGGGCGCACACGTCCCCCAGCCATGGTTCCCACAACCAGGACAGGTCCAGACCGCCTGGCGTCGTGACAACATCTTTTTTTGTTTCGGGCTCGGAGGGCCATCGCGGGGGCCCAGTGGTCGTCCAAAAGTGACTCAGTATGCAATGCTTGTCTACTGTAGGTTCATACGGCGTTGGCGCGCCGGCGACGTTGGCGAAGGCGTTCAAGCTGCATTATGCGACGCGGAAGCACCCCGAGGGACACGTTGGGCCCACTGTACCCGACGAAATTCAACATTGAACGATCGGGGCCGCGATCGACTCAAGGTTGAACGATCCACGCGGTGCCAAAGCCTTGCGGGCGCCGACGCCGCACGAACCTACCGTAGGGGAATTTGTCCAAACCTCTGGGGGCCGACGTCCTGGAAAAGTCATGACGTTGGGGGTTGAGCCCGCCGCGTCTACCCGCCTTGCCATCCTGTCCTCTTCCGTATCCCCCCCCTCCTCCTCCTCTTCCTCCTTTTCTTCCTCTCTCCTTCTCCTGTTCCTGCTCCTCCTGCTCCTGTCCTTCCTCCCCTCGTCCTTCTCCCTTCCTCCTCCGCCCCTCCTCCCGCCTCCTCCTCCTCCTCCTCCTCCTCTCCTCCTCCGCCTCCTCCTCCTCTCCTCCTTCTCCTCCTTCCTCTCCTCCTCCTCCTCCTCCTCCTCCTCCTCCTCCTCCTCCTCCTCCTCCTCCTCCTGCACGCTTTTATTCTCCAGCCTCTCGCGCCCTAGCAGTCTCTGCAGCTTCTCGGCCCGAGCTTGCCCCGCTTCGGCCCCCTCCGCCCCCCTCCGCGCCCGCGCGGCGGGGGGCGCCAGGGGCCTGCGCCGGCCCCCGCCGCTCAGGTCAACATCGTCCTCTTCGCGGTGGCGGCCGTCTTCTCGGACCACGCGTGGGCCGCCGCCCAAGGCGGTGGTCCACTCTCCCCCCTCGATCGCGGGTTTGCACGGGGTCCACTTTCCCGTCGATCCGCCCTCGTGTGGGGTGAGACCGACTGTCCCGTGCGACCAGTCGGCAGCATCACGGGGTTCTTTTCCCGTTCGGGTGCGTGCTGGCACGCGCTCCCTCTCTTGAGGTTTGGCTCGCGCCATTCCTTCCCTGCAGGCCGCTTGCCTGCAGGCGGGACGCTCACGCGCTCGTCAGGCCACCTGTCCTACAGGCGCCTGTCGCCAATGGCTTCCTGGCCAACGGCTTTTGCGGCTGCACATCCAGTCTTCTGCGGTGCCGATCCGCCGACCTGGCGCCCCTCGACGGGTTCGACGCCTGCGCTGCCTCAAACCCCTCCTCCTTTCTCCTGCCATTCTTCCCCTTTTACCTTCGGGGTGGCGGAGTGGGGGACCCATGAGAGGACTGGAGGAGGACGAGGAGGAGCTTGCACGCCATGTGCTGCGAGACTCGAGCAGCCCGAGATCGCACGAGATCCGAGGGTCCCAGCCGCCGCGCATGCCTTGCCCGCCAGGGTGCACTCTTCTCCCGCTGGACTTGCGCACAGCTCCTTGAAAGCCGATGCAGCAGAATGGTGCGCAGCGAAGATAATCGCGCCCAGGAGGCAGGATCTGGAGGGGGACCTTCCTGCTAACCTCCCCCTCACTCCTTCTTCTTGCCTCTACACCGCCACCTGGCTCACCTATGCCGCTGGGCATGACGACCCATTCCTGGGCCCCGCCTGCTCCACCGTGGGCGGGGGGGCTTCAGTCGCGGGGCACACGGGCTGTGCCGCCGCTGCGGGTTCCCGGCCTTCGTCTAGAGGCATCGCCGCGGCCACTTCCGCCGACGTTTCTGCTCGGACCGCCGGAGGCGTTGACATTCGCGCACCTCCAGGTTTGGGCCCGTTGCCACCGGGGCTGGCGGTCAGGCAGACTGGGCCGCCTCCGGGCCTTGACGTTTCAGTCGGTGGGCCCGCGTCGTTCCCGCTGCTGCGGACCCCGCCCTCTCCTCCAGGTGGGCCGCCGGCCGTTGTTCCGCCGCCAAGCCTCGCTCATTCGGCGGTCGTCGCCAAGCTGCTTCGCGCGGAGCCTCATTCACCCCTAGCGGCGGACGCTGCGGTGTTCGACGGATCTGCAGGAGTAGGTATGCGCCCTGCCAGCGATGCTGTTGCGGCCCCGCAGGGAGGGGCTCGTACCGCTCCCTCAGCCGCCACCGCAGTCTACGCCTGCCTGCCCCCTCCAGGGTTGGAGCCGCCGAGGCCAGCACCGACGCCAGCACGAATGCCCGCACTGACGGCGGCGGCACCGACACCTGCGCTCACGCTGACACCAGCGCCAGCGCATACGCCCGCACCGAGGCCAGCACCGACGCCAGCACTGACGGCGGCAGCATCGACGCCTGCGCTTACGCCAGCACCAGCGCCAGCGCCTCCGCCCGCACCGAGGCCAGCATCGACGCCAGCAGTAACGCCAGCAATGACGGCGGCAGCACCGACGCCTGCGCTTAAGCCGGCACCAACGCCAGCGCCTCGGCCCGCTCCGAGGGCAGCACCGACGCCAGCACTAACGCCAACACTGACGGCGACAGCACCGACGCCTGTGCCGACGCCAGCTTCAGCACCAGCGCTAGCACCGACGCCAGCCCTTACGCCAGCATTGACGGCGACGGCACCGACGCCTGCGCTCACGCCGGCACCAGCGCCAGCGCCTTCGCCAGCACCGAGGCCAGCACCGACGCCAGCCCTAGCGCCAGCAGTGACGGTGGCAGCACCGACGCCTGCGCCTACGCCGGCACCAGCGCCAGCGATTACGCCAGGGAGCGCTTCGACAGTGTTGTCCTTCCACCCGCCGCCTGGGTTCGAGGCGCTGCCGGGCCCCACGGTCTGGCAGGTGGGGCCTCCTCCTGGCCTCACTGGCCTGGAGGCGGGCGCTCGGGTGCCGCCGCCGCACAACCGTTGCTCGACCGACGCCGCGGTTGGGTTTCCACTTCCTGACAGCGAAAGTTGGCAGTGGGCGATCCCCTGCTTAGGGGCCCCACCCCTGCCTCCAAGGGAGCCGCTTGCGTCTGGTGCCTCCCGTGCGAGCGCCCTCGCCGTCTTGCACTCTCTCGGGCTACGCGGGAGGCCAACGTCGGCGTCGTCGGACACTACTCACGCCTGTCTTGTGACCGCAAGGCCTCTTGCGAGCAGTGTGTCCGGCTCGAGCTCCCGCGACCTGCCTTGGTCGCTCGGGGTACGCGGGGGCCCCCCCGCGTCCCTGCCAGGATCAGCCCCCTCGTTGTCGGGCGCTACGCTGGAAGCTTTTGCTGCTGGTGCAAATGGCTTCGAGGTAGCTGGTACTCGCCTTCCCGACGCCGCTGCTTCGGCGCCACAGAGCACGGGTCGCACCGATCCCTCGGCCCCCGCCACAACTCGCGATTTGGGCACGCCGCCGCGCAGCCGTCCTATGGCCGCTTCGCCGTGTCTTCCAGGTTTTCTGCCCCCTCCAGGGCGGGAACCGCCTTCACGGCCGTGCGCCTCGCGTCGCTCTAGGGGCGCCCTCCGCGAGGCTAGAGGTGCCCCAGCCCTTCGCCGACGTGGCGGTTCGTCTGGGTCTCCTGCCACTCGGGATCTTGGCCACGTTGGCCAGGACTCCTGCGCCACCTCAGCGCGTCCAGCTGCGCGCTGGGACCCCAGCCTCGGCGCTCGTCTCAGCGTGGGGG